GGGTGCTAACACCTTCCCCACGCGTAACCGACTCCCGAACCCAATCTTTGGTTTTCGTGGACCGTGCTTTATCGTTTTGAGGTTTTTCCGTAGTTTTCCATAATAAACTATGGTGGCGACTCCAAATCTCTTTTCAAAACCCGTTTCTTTTTGGATCGTCGTCCCGTCGCGATTCCGGTTGCGACAACTACTAACATTAAAGCTATCAAAACTAAAACTATTAAAACAAAACTAAAACTAAAATAGATGATGTGACATATTTAATTAAGACAACAAAGAGAAGAACAAAAATATGTTTCCTTCACAAACATTGAATGTTACTCAGTATATTGTAAGAACTTATAAATCCCCTTTTCATAATGCGACATTCATTCATGTAACTTTCATCCATACTATGTTCGTAACAAACTCCAGCAATCTCAGTCTTTTAACTCTCACAAGGTAAGACACTACCCATTTAGAAAAAAATATTATTAATAATTTGTTAACATGTATACGAAGAAGTCTAACATCATAACTTTGATAAAATTTTGACAACATTTTGCATTAGTCTCTGAAGTACACGAAATGAAAGTTATCACTCATAACCACAATCGTCTCAACTGAAATGGTCTCAACTTAAATTTTATCAAATTTATGCATAAACTTCAATGTATACGTTATAACGAATTCTGAAAAATAATTTATCCAAACTGTCCAATTAGACAATTCAAGATTTAATACAAACTATTAAAAGTTTAATCATTTGCACATAATTTCAAACGAGAACTAAGGTTCGCCCAATGTTTAACTAAAATTATAATAAATCTAAAAAAAACTAAAATTATTTAAATATACAACATCTAATAAATCTAAAATTAATCAACTTACTAATACAAACTAAAAATATAATTTAATCAATCACTTAATAATTAATCAAACATCATCATTAAAACTAAATTGGAGTGTGAAAATATTCTACAAAGTTAAATGAAACAAACATGTTAACAAAACTAAGAAATAAAGCGGTGAGAAAAACTTCTCGTAACAAAGTTTCTCAAATCCCTACAAAATTTGGTCAAGATAAATAAAATAATAGGAAACATAATGGAAAAAATCACATGCAAATTAAGTCATATCAAAAATTGCTAACATGTATACAGAATATTCATTCAATATTTAGTGTACATAACAAACCTTGAACAAAGTTGGAAGATGGTAAAGGAGTCGTCGCCGCCATTGTGGATGAGTCCTCGCTGGTGAGGGAGAAATGAGAACTCTTCTTGTTGCTTGAAGGTGTTCAAAACACAGTTCCTACACGAAAACAATCAAGGAAAACGAAAGAAAATCATACCCAAGGAAATCAAGCAATATTCATTTGTATTAAATGAAAGAAAAATTGTCTTTGATGTGGTCGCACTTGTCACCACAATTGTTGGGAGGCCTTAGAAAAGAAAGCACGAAGAAACAATGAAAGAGAAATGTTCTATTGCGGGCAGTCGTCTAATGAGTATAGGAAAATGACTTTTGTGCTAGATTTTTCAATGTTTTAAACATCATATGACGTTGGCCACTCTTACAAGCTAATGTCTAATGAGATATGATGTTGGCCCGCATAGAATTTGACTTCTAAAAGATACAGGAAAGTCCATTTCTAGTTGGGTTTTTTAATATCTTAAATATCATTAAACGTCAACTCCTTCACTATTCGATATCTAAAGAGATATGACGTCGGACCCCTAACTATCTCACGTCAAACTCTTCTAGAACATTGCCTTTCAGTTGAGTTTTTAAAATTTTAAAAACCATATGACATCAGTCTCCTTCCAAACATACATCTAAAGGTAATATGACATTGACCTCCAAATTATCCAACAATAAAATCTTCGATAACATGAGTTCCAACTAACCTTTTTAAATGTTTAAAACCATATGATGTCAGTCTCCCCTCCATATAGTCGTCTAAATGTGATATGACATCATTCTCACTTAATCTCTAACATTAAACTCTTCATTTTATTTACAAAAAATTCACCAATTATTTTTAACATTAGTTTTTTTTATAAGCTGATGTTGAATGAAAGAAGTTATAAACATATTTTGTACTAGTGATTTTTTTTAAAAAATAGATAATTTTTTTTAAAACAATTAAAAATTAAAAAAAAATAAAAAACCATAGACACATGACATTTCCTTAATATTGTTATTACAATACTAACATAAAAAACTTGATTTTATCATTTTTTTTAAAATAAGGATAAAATTGAGATGTATAGAAAAAAAAAGACTCATTTGATATTTTTTTATAAAAAATAAAGACGAAAAACATGATTTATTTAGTTTTATTGATGTTAATGAGAAGTCTATTTCGAGTTAAGTAGACCATTGAATCAAATATATAAATTCAAATTTGATCAATTAACTAATTCAATCAGTTAATTAATTCAATCGAACTAATTAACTTAATTAATATTTGTTCGTATGAAAAAAATTAAATATTGTAAATCAGTAAAATAATGTCGAGAAGGTCATTAAAAATAGTTATTTATACTTTTTAATAAAAATTGTTTTCTTAATAATGTTAGTAATATTGTATAGTAATAAAATACAAAATTATGTTTTAATATATGAAATTTCAACATAATTTTTATTCATTGAGGTATATGGTTTTTCCAAAATTTACAAAATGAATTACATTGAATCAAACAGTTAAAACTTCTTCTGAACCAAAAAAATAATTTGTTAAAATTTAACTAAACTGAAAATTAGTTTAGAGTTTCTATTTTATCAAACTCTATAACATTAAAATGTACTCAAAATGGTCAAATTATGTTTTAACACCCAATGCCAAATTCAGCCACTAGATTAAACTTTTGTTGAGGTCAATTGGGTCAAATTTAGATGAAATTTGATTGGGTAAACTAGATCAAATTCGACCAAATTTTACTCATTCAGCCAAATTAAATTAAATTTCAGTCGGAGCCAACTCAATTGAATTCGACCAAATTTTGGTTATAGCTAACTTGGTTAAATTTGACCAAATTTCCACAAGGGGCGACTCAATCCAATTCAACCAAATTTTGGTTGTGACCGATTTAGTCGAATTCAACCAAATTTCGATTAGAGCCGACTCGGTCAAATTTCATTTGGTAATGAATATCAAATCTTCTAGAAGATAAACTACTAATTCTAAAATAGGTCCTTATTTTTGGCGTGAATCTCAAATAGGTCCTTTTTCTTTTCGGCGTCTCAATTGGGTCCTTTTTTGTGTAAAATTGCAGCAATTAGGGGTCTGCCGTCAAATTCAACAAACGGCCGTTTAAATTTGGCCTATGTGGTATGGTGAATGTATTCATTATCTGACGTGGCATTTAACATATATATATTTCTGTAGTGGTCCTAAAAATGGGTAGAAAATTTACATTCAGAGGGATGAAAGAGAGTTAAAAAGAGGTAAAAGAAAAAAAAAAGGTGGATGCCTGTCATCTATATCCTGCTCGTCGTGGTCATTTATGGAGGATGCGGAAGAGCTCTCTTCCATCTGCTGTTCGGCTAACTTATCCGTCAGATACATCTCAGCCATATCATCGTCGTCGTCCAGCAAGTGCTCCAATTCATCCCTCACCTGAACAAATGATCAAACAATGAAATAATCAAACCCCCGGAAGCCCATGCCATGCATCAATCACACCCACCAACCTTCTGAACACGGCCAGTGATGGCGACCAATCGGCTCTTAATTTGACGAACGCGTTCCAAATTGAGAGTACTGATCTTGGATGTGAGCTTGTCCAAGGCGGGATGAGCCTCCTGCTCCAACGTCTTTGCCTGTGAGTCATCAGAGAGAGATTTAGGGTAAAGACAGAGGGAAATTGTCGGCAAGAAATGAAAAGAAGAGAAGAGGGAAGCACTGACCTCGTTCTCCAATACGCTACAGGCGGCTTCAAGGCAGGCCTCTAGGGCCACGAATTCGAAAGGGAGAATCTTGATGGCATCAGGGACGTGGTCGTGGTCGGGGTCGGAGTCGGTGTGGTGGTCGTGATGTTTGGAAGAGAAGGCCTGGTGGTGGCGGAGGATCCTAGCCTGGAGCTCTTGGACGAAGGGGGTGACGGAGGGGTCACGTGAGTTGAGGAGGAGGACCTCGTGGGCGGTGATGATGGCCTTGATGTGCTCCAAGTTGATGACGATGGCCCTCTCACGGCCAAGAAGGGTGGAAGGGTAGGAGAGGAGAGGGTCCAATATGCGGAGGTCACGGGCGGGAAGGCCGGTGCGCCTCATAATGAATACACTCACCATCTCACCATACCACGTAGGCCAAATTTAAACGGCCGTTTGTTGAATTTGACGGCAGATCCCTAATTGCTGCAATTTTACACAAAAAAGGACCCAATTGAGACGCCGAAAAGAAAAAGGACCTGTTTGAGATTCACGCCAAAAATAGGGACCTACCGAGACATTAAACCAATTTAAAAGCAAAATTTAATAACAATCAAAAAGGAAAACATATAACACAACCCTCCAATCAAAAATCAACATCAATATCATCAATTATTTTATTAAAGTGGAAAACAAATGAACGAAGACTAAGAACAAATTGCGGTGTCGCGAGTTGTTGTGTGTGGATATGAGAAAGGATGGAGATGAGAGAAAATTATTCAAATATAATTAACCTTAAGACTTAAAATCCATAATATATAAGGATTTTTTTTCTACCCTGATAAATCAGCACTTGCATATTTAATTTTTAATGAAACCAATATTTTAAAACTATTTTTGTTGACAAAAACCATAGTGAATCATTACAAATAATAATTATTACTAGAAGAGATAATCAATTAAAATAATCATTATTTTTCTTTAAAAATAATTTTGAAAGCATTTAAAGATTCTGTCACAGTTATGATGGTTCATATTATTTTGTCTTGAATAAAACTTTCCTCTATATAAATTATTCACGTATCCAATTAGAAAGAAGTATAATACACAATACAATTTAGTTTCTTCGTCAAACATATTGAAATGAGAACTCTTCAAATATGATCACGTTGCTGAGGAACTTAATCAATAGGTTATATAATTTAAACGTATCTAAATATAAGAGTTGGAAAAATATTGTATAATTAATGTATGTTTAAAAGTAAATATGTATGTTAGGAAATTAGTTTATATAAATGAGCGAATATTAATTTTATTATTTTTCACAAGTTGAAATAGTTAACAAGGAAAATAATTTTGTTTTTTTTATTTCGCTTAGGCATATATTTCTTTATTTTTATTTTTTCAAATTCTAAAATTATTATTTTAGTTTCTATAATTATTTTAAGAGAATAAGTAACAATTATTTTATAATTTTAAAATAATAAATCTATTAGATATTGACATGGTGCCACACAATTAATAAGGGTTACCTGAAATGATCACTTTATCTTTTATTAAAAAAACAAGTAAATAAGGAATATCCCATAATAATAAAAATACAATTAAACATTTTAACTTTCTTAATAATGAATAAATGTTTTGAAATGAATAAAATCAAATTTATTTTTAAAATTAAAAATATATTTAATATTTTAAAAAATTAGAAATAAAAGTGTCTCAATTGATGGTAATGAAGACTCATAAGTCAGAAGCTGCGTCCTTTTCTATTTTTATTTTGACCTATTTTGCAGTTGTTAATTTTAAACAAATGAGACAAGGTTTTATCCAAAAATGAATCTTTTTTATTTTTGATGATCTTTTGTGTGTATAATGATAATTTCCCTTTTAGTGTTTTTATTAACTAAATTTTACATAATATGATTACTAACAACGATAATAAATATTTATATATAAATTTATTAAATTGTTAATTGTTATATGCTCATGTATACATAAGTGTGTCTCTTTTTTTACATGGTTTTATACGGTTTTGGTCATTTAATTTTGCTGAACACTAATTATACCTTAAATTACCAAATTTATCACTTTTTATTTTTCAATTCTCAACTTTTCAGTTTTAATGATTTTTTCAATTCTCAACTTTTAAGTTTTAATGAATTTTCAATTTGTACTCATTTTTTCAATTAAATACAACAAATAAAGCCTAAATAAATTTCCCAATGGAAAATTTACTTTATATTTGAGTCATAGATATAAATAAATATATTCATATTGTTGTCGAAAATTTTAATAAACCTTAGAATATTGAATTGAGAAGTTCCACAATCTTCGGGAAAAAGGAAGGTATAGGTTTCTTGTAAGGTGGGTAAGGAACTTACCTTTGGATTAAATTATGGAAAATTTAAAAGCTTAAAGATCATTTTTTTTTTTTATTTTATGTCATTTCTTTTCCCCTTTTTGTCTCTTAACCACGAAGGATTAAATAATTAAATTTTTTGGTTAATGCATGCTAGTAATTACGATAATTCGTGTTTTTTATTCTTTTACTTGTTAAAGTAACTTAAAGGGTGATTTTAAAAAGAGGAAAGAGGAATTATACTTTGTATGTGGTAGATTTTTCCAAATTAGTTAAAGAAAGTTCTTATGCATAGTAAAAAAAGTGTCTAAGAAGCATGTTATGATAATGTTCTGGTTCAAATCCTGTAACAATTATTGTCCACAATCATATTATAGTGTTTCTTTAACATAGTCTTCTTTTACAGATGCAAAGATAAATAAATATTTTCATATTTAGTTAGAGTCTATAAAAATATATCTTCAAATATGTATTCAAAGATAACTTAATAATATTTTCATGTTTTAAAAAGTTTATATTCTTAAGTGAAAGAGGAAAATATCTCATATGTAATATAGTAAGGACCATTAATGTTTAATATAGATACTTTTTTCATACAAACGTTTTTTTATTATTAATTTTATTTTATTACTTTTGTTTAATTTTTCAAAAAATTATAATATATCAGTCACTCTTATATAAGTACATGGCGTCTATTAGTCTAACCATTAGGTTAATCCATCTTTATACCATAAATTTAATTACAAATAGGTTTTTATTAGGAATTTAATACACAATTAAAAGATTATATGCTATGAATCACTAATAATTTATTATTTTATTCGGTAAGACATTCAATTATACAAGTTATACAAGTTTGTTTTGAAGAAAGTATGAGATGATTGTACATTAATTAAGTGTACACAAGGTTTACACTAATGAATGTAAAGTAAACCTTTTAATAAGTTTTCTTGGAATATTGATTATATAATATCAAATATTGTACTGATATGTTGTTCATTCAAATAAAATTCAATTCAATTATGAAATGATAAAATAAATAAATAAATTATATAAAGTGATCTGTTGTAATTAAGTGTAAGAATTTGTAATTTGTTTTGAGATGTTTCGAGTAATAATAAAAAGAGTCCTTACTATTTTTCTTAATGTAAGTAACTTGTGTGGTAGGAGAGTTTCTTGCTTGTTTAGAGAAATTTAAACAATGACTCAATAATGTGAAAGTTATTCTTTATTTATTTTTTATATACAAGTAATGGTTTTCATTAGTATTAGTGTAGATAAATGAAATGATTATGCAAATAGATTACAATTATAATAAAAAGATAAAAGATAGTATATGTTCAAACAGTAACATTTTTAAAATTATTGGTAAAGAATAGATTAAGTTTAGTTAAAATTGTAGTCTATCTCATTATACACTACAATTC